TGAAAGACACAGTGGCATGCCGCGCGATGAGACAACTAACCAATGTCAAGGTGCGCAACCAGTGAAAGATATGGCGCGTATCCTTCAACGTTTGTGCACTTAGGATAACTGAGATCGCGCCAGCGAAATGCTCGAAACTGCTACCGCATACATGTGTGATCCGCACTGAAATTTATGGTTGATGGTTATAGAGAGCTTCAGATGGCGATAAAACCTTATTAGGAACCAAAGTGGTGGAGTTTCCTCTTCTTGAAACAATTCCCATCGCGTCAAGTCTTCTGCACGATCAAGGAAAAGATAGCGAACACTGCTCTGCATTTAACCCCAACATCTCAGTTGTTAAGACACCGTTAAAACAAAAGTAAACCATTTATTCACTGATAAAATTTTACAGGTCATTTAAAACACGTTTTAGTATTCGTCCTAACACCATATTATTAAACCCAATCTCAAAAGTAGATAACCACGAAATATTTGCATAATGAACGGGTACAGCTGTTTTAAAAGGTAAAAAGCTCAATAAAATCACAAATGTACTCAGAAGAAGAGCAATAGTAGTATCACTCTGCAGCGGGCTCGAAAAATGGCAAAATACACTAAATATAGTAAAAATTTCAGAAATCCTAATGAAGGCTATGGAGGTTCCAGCACAAAAACCCAGTCACATCTGCACTGCATTGTTTCTTTTCTTGAAATTCCTGAAGAGCACTTCCCGTTCCATACGGTACGCTATCTCATGACGTATAACACCCAGCCAAGCATCCTCCCTGAAAGGAATAAAACGAAAATTTAAAAACTCCGGAGAGTAATGAAAATTAAAAGTTTGTCATGAAAAGAAAGACTGTACAGTTTCAAAAACCTGACACAGACCACAAAAAATGATCATGAGGTTCCCTGGTAAGACGAGTCTCTGCCTACTGAGGGTAAGACATGAGCCGTCTACGGGTTGAAAAGCGGTCTGGGTAGGGCACAACGAGTGCTCAAAGATAGCCTGCATTATATATCACACCCAAAACTGGCCATGTTTCAATAGCCTCGTAGAGGTTGCTCCATTTGCAATGGAGCAGATTGTTGAAAATCCGAACAGCTGACCGTTGGGGCCCTCACCCATGGCGATAGTGGAAACCAGTTTATAGGTTGATTTTTGTTGACTGCTGCGATTTCGTCGCAGTACGCGATGCAAAATTCTCACAAGACCTGCAAGTTGTGGGCAAAACTTGACCTGATGAGGGACTCAACCTGTGGCTTTCGGGGCACCGTGATCGTTATGCCTTGTACATATTTCTATATGGCTCTTTGGAAATGTGCTGTATACATACCTATGCACGTTGTGGTCGTAATCCAATCATCGTGATGATCTGGTTGAATGCCTCTCTTACTTGGGATCGTTCTTCTTCTGGCATTGAACGGACAACATAGAGGCAGATCGACCATATCGCCGCTTCTTGAGGTGTTTTTAGTCGCAGCTGGAAGACACCTTCTACATGAACTTTGACAATCTGCTTCAATGAAACGTTCTCGCTTTGTGGCTTCAGAACTGTTGTTCGACAGCATTTTAAAAACTAAAAAAATTGAGAGTCATCCTTTAATTTGTGATGATTCGCACAAAGTAATTCGAAAATATTCAACTGGACGACGAGCCCATGGAGTAACTGACTGCAATCACGGGCCGGTAAATCAAAAGTTGGTTCTTTTTCGAGGATATATAATATACACGTATGTACAAACATATGAATGGTTTTCAAACCTCACCCATTTTTCATCAACATTGTAGGCAATGTTACTGTCTCTCTTTTTGTTATCGTATAATAATACTCGCGACATTGGATGGGATCTTCCATCAAGACCACGATGCATTTCTCGTTCCTGCAAAGTTTTTGAAACGAACTTTGTTAGCAGCTAGGTATTTAATGGTGACATGAAAGTTGAGTTTTGGGATATACTGCTTCTTCCAAGTGCACATCGCTTCTGATCCAAACTTCCAAAAAAAACTGACTTCTCATTCATGAACTGGAGACATCTAGAAAACTGCTTATTCACTCACCAGTACCATAACTCTTCCCTCAGCGAAGTTTTGACCAAGTCTTTGCTGAAGATTCCGATTTATTAACCTCTGCAAGAAAATTATGAACGTTCAGAAAGAGAAGGAATACACCTATCGGAGTCTTAATATAAATGGCGTTGCAAAAATTATCAGAACACAATAAAAGAATAAAGTCTAGAGGAGAAATTCTCGGGGCGTTGATCGATCCCATCTGAGGGATGCAAGCATGCATTAGACTTCCACTCAAATCGTAGGGGCGTATTGAATCGTGTGTGGATTATAAATTTAAACTATAAATGACTTGCGGTCGCCAGCCTATGTACAAACCACTGGAAGGCTGGTTGACCTCGCCGGATACCGGTCCGGAATTCGAACCCGTGACCATGCGTGATTGCAGTGCACCACTCGCTACTCAGAACCTCCGCCTCGAGTATGTTACGACCGCACCGCGGGCTGGAAAAGCCTAAGGTTCCTGTGCCTACGTCTAGTCCGATTCGATTCCCTTCTACATGGCCTCAGTGGCCGTAGCCGTGAAAGAAATAGAGCTACCCTGGATGTAGTCACGCAGTTGAGCGAACAGTCGTTGCTGCTGATCATGCCTCGGAGTATCTGCATTGGTGCAGAAGGTGAGAGGCCGCTGTCATCAGATAGGCGAAGAGTACGGCAGGATATTGCGAATAAGAGAACGAGATCGCGGCTTATCCAGACCGACATATTCGCGTGAGCTTTCGGCATGGTTCTAAACCCATGGTTGGCAGATGAAGGATCTACGGTAGGGTCCTGCAATGCGGAAAGCCACTTCTGAAGACTTGACGAGATGGCAGCCAATCCAGCACCATGCGCCTTATATCTATCTGATGGTGAGCCAAGCTTTTCACACCAATCAAAAAGGCAAAAGAAAATAGTAAGGCAAATTTACCTTGACGTCATCCAACTTGGTGATGTTCCCATTCGATATGAACGTGGTGTTAAGCTGAAGCATTGTTAGTACCAGCACCGAAACACACCAAAGTATAAATTCTAAAAAAGACCAAGCCTTCGGCGTTAATGACTCCATTTTTGGGATGCGCCCCGCATTCAACTTCCCTACAGAAATGAAGCACGATTTTGAATGCGTATGTAGCCTATAGAATGGCTTGTGTACAAGCCAGGGCTCTTATCGTCCCACACGTCCCTTGTCTGGTACCCGATCGCAGATGAAAGATCGCTTGAACGACCTGGGGGAGACTCTTGACCCATAGAAAGTACTTAGGGGAAAAGGTAAAAGGTACAAATGGAAAACTGACTTAGAAAGTTCGCGAATCAGTAGCTGTTATTGTTTATCATTGCGTGGGAATCAGAAAAATAAATTTAGAAAAAGGCAAAAGAATCTTAACATCTGGGAAATTATAAGAAACTTTAGTTCCTAGAAAACTCGTAATGACAAACTCACCACACTGGCACAGGAAGGGCCACACTGTATCTCTTCCACTTTCACTGGTAGATTTCTTCTCTCAATATCTCTCAAAATATTCTGAGCTTCAGCCATTTCCGGTAGCGTGGAGTTAGCGATCTGTCAAAGAGTTATTCGGAGTTATGTAATTTTTTTAGTTTCTTCGTAATATGTGGTCTCACTGTTAGCGTCTAAGCTCTTGAATTATGCTTCACGGAAAATTCGCTTACATCCCTCAAAATGCCATCGCTAGTTCGGAGAAATGCGTCCAAATTTTGGAACACTTCTGATAGTGAATAGGAGAGACCGTCATTCCCCATGTAGCTCAAGTGCTTGTCTGCCAGCACCATAGCTCTCACAACCCTGGAAATCATTTGTAACTCCATACAGAACGGATGAGTCCTCTGAAATTTGGGTATTGGGGCATCAGACACTTACATTGCTTCTATTGCACTAACAACTCGATGTTGGTATAGAAGATTATGTAGCATCTGTCGAGAATCTCCAATAGATAGAGCAACGTCAGCTACCTTCAATTATCTTATCATTTTGAAAATTAGGGTATGCTCCACTTAATGGTCAACAAAGAATTCAAAAACCGTCTCGATTTTGGTAAAAAGAGTCAAGACAAAATGAATGAACCTTCTTGGCGTAACATATTCGTGGAAATCCGCGATGCGGGTCAGGTAAGACCTTGGCATTTTCCATCAGTCGCTCAACGCTACGCTGAAATGGGAAAAGGTTGTATGTGTGAGAAGTATAAGTTCAACTAGGTGCTTGTACATCTAGCGGAGGAAGAGTGAAATGGCGATTCTGTAGAGTCGCTCCTAAATTCCCTAGAGAAGCGCCCGTCCGTTTACCGTTCATAAGCCTTAAAATTTTGCCTTTATGTGAAATTGAAGAACTTGTAGAAAAAGCGCCTTCATAGTTGATCTCAGTATAGAATAATGACGGCATTCTGGTCGGCAGTGATAATTTAGCTCTACCTAGGCACTAAATCATGCACGATCAGGAAGTCCACTCCCGGATTGATGTTCTCTTGGTCAAACATGCCTTTCATCTCTTTAGGGTGGCACACTCGTCTGGGAAAGTAGAGGCACTGTATTATTCATCAGTTGGTTCGTTCAACTCGTTCAGATCGCGTAATCTTCCGCTCTCCTCTCCTCTATAGATGATAGAAGCCTAATCCATCAACTATAGAGGAGAGGAGAGCAGTAGATTACGCGATCTGAACGAGTTGAACTGCGCGATAGGCGGAGTCGCGCCAAACGACTGCCTCCCCTTTCAAACGAATCTGGAGCAATCTGGCGAATAGAGCAACTTCCAAAGGAAGGTTCCCTGGGCTACAGGGGTGGTGGACCAATGATATTCTCTCCAGTTTAGAGCATGGAACACAATGCAGAGGGAGTATCTAAATACATCCTGCGCAGCTTTGAGTTTATCTGTGCTGGGTCGACGTAGTGGGACGCCAAGAATTCTCTGGTGGGTGCTTCCTGAGGTTGAACCTGTTAGCTGAAAAAATCTCTAATGAAGAACCTGACTGAATGGAATTGGAATGCCGGCGCTGAGTGAATCTCTGATGAGATAGTCAAACTTGTCTACATCGCAGGAATCATTGTTGTTCGCAACGATATCATATAGGAACGCTTTTTCCACTGAACGACCACGAGGTAACCATATTCCATTTGCGTCCTATAATGGCATTAATTTACCTTTACATACATTTTTCTATAGTAATTACGAGTAGGAATGCCATCGATTCATGGCTTCACATTTTCATCAAAGGCCTTTTTATTCTCTCCACAACTTCGTTTTGCCCTCACAAATTTCTGCGACGATATGAGCTCTTCAGCGAAGGTTATGTTCTTTTGGAATTCGTCACCTCTCCCAAGATATCGTTCCAAAGCCTCACGGATCTCGTTTTCGTTCACGATACGTCGAAGTAATTGAATCGACAAAGATTCGTGCTGAAAATGTAAACACTCACGGTATATCTTTTGATAGTACTTATTAGAATTTAGAGTAATATATTAAATAGGAATCGGTGGACCAGATATCCATCTAGCGATACAGTTACGATAGAAGAACCGGGTAGTCACTCGAAAGAAACTGAAGTTGAAGGGTCTGTTCCATTCGTCTTACTACACATCGCCCCCTAATCTCTGCACGCTTCCGGGGAAGGGGAAGAGTGGGAGGGGGCAGGGGGTGGGCGGAAAGTGGGCTTGCTTGGAGAGCTTGCTTGGAGAACAACTTTCCTTGATTCCAGGCTCCATAATGTGGAACAATTGTGAAACAATAAGAAAATGCAAAGGGTATTTACTGTATACTCAGGAACTCCAGCTGCCTCACGAAACGCTCCATCAAATAAATGTGAAAAAGGTCCATGACCTGAAATTAAAGGACTTTTCGTCAACGCATAGCAGACCATAGTTTTTAATATGTTCGACAGCCTGTGATTTCCACTTTCCTATTTTTCTTGCTCATTATTCTATTACATTCTGTTTCTTCAGTCAGTTTCACTGAATGTTTAATGGAGGAGTAGAAAGGGACCATGGCCATGATTTGTGATCACGGAATTACAAAGCTTACCCAGATCATGACAAAGAGCTGCCAGAGAGACGCAGAGATGGTCTTGTCCCGTTATATTCAGTGATGTATCCCGTTTAAGAATTTCAACAAATTTGAATGCTAGCCAATACGTCCTAAAATACAATCTTTTCACAGGAACAGCAACGTTTGAGTATTTTAAAGAACTTACCCTAAACTATGTACAAATCGACTGTGAGTACTACAAGGATAAACTAAATAAGTGACTCCTAATTGCTTAATCTCTCTAAGCCGTTGGAATTCTCGCGTGTCGATTATTCGTTCCAATGGATGAAATAGTGAAATCGAACCGTGTACCATGTCTTGGATTTCACGTTTCTGAAGAAAGCTTAGAAGGAAATCAGAATGCTTCGATTTCAAATTTTTTTGTAGACATGAGAAGAGCTCACATTGAAAAGCGGAGGCCAGTCATCTGAACGATCCTCCGTTAGTTTCATATCTAAAAATGAGCTATAAGGGGAACAATCGAACTAGAGCGGTACTTGACTGTAAACTGACAAAAGCATTATATTGGTTCTAACAATAACAAATTTACACGACTAAGATTCGAAATGATGAGCGAAGAAAAAAGAAATAATTATTATTTACTAACCACTATGAAATGTATAGGGCTTTCAACTTTACATCCACTAGCAGCAGTAGACACAGATAACTGAGATAGGCCTTTGCAAAGGAACCGAAGCTGTTAATTGGGAAAACGGCTTAAAGCTTATTTGGAAAGACGAAGCCGCAACCCGACAGTGTTGCGGCTTCGTCTTTCCAAATGAGCTTTAAGCCGTTTTCCCAACTAACAGCTTGAAGGAAAGGAAAAAGTAATATTTGTAAAATTAATTTAAAAAGCTGGGGTGAAATCTTGACATAACATTATTGGAAAACATAGGGTAACAGCTAATGGTGCACCAGCAAACAACATGTGGTTTCGACCAAAATGGAAAGGTTAATCACGAGCTACAGAAAAAGTCGTCAAACGGAGTGCGCATGATTTGAAGGGAAACTCTGCCATGAAAAAGCACAGCAGGCTTCGGAACATCGGTCCTTTCCGGGCAGTGACATATAAACAGGATCGATTTGAATGGTGTGATAAAAAAGGGACATGAACAGATGTCTAAGTTTTCACAACTGAAAGAAAAGTACATACCCCTGTCCAACGTTGACAGAATGTTTCGCTTCCAAAGCACTCAGTAAAATTCAGAAGGCTGAGGAAAGCAAATCTAGAGAAAGCCGATTAACATAGGAGAGGATTGAAAGCCCTGAAAATTTACAAGAGGAGGTTCCAAGTAGCTAAAGAATTTTTGAAAAAAGGTTCGAAGCCTTCAAGATGGGCAGAAGGGCTCTGAAGTCCTCGAATCGAATTGAAATGCTGAAATCTGACGGAGATGCTCCCACCGGAGTGGATATGTTCAATATGGACATCAAAAAAGGTATGAAATTGAAACGGCTAAGACTGTCTGTGCTGTAAGTTCATTTCCGGGAATCATTCATCTCTCTGAGCTGACTTTTCTTGCTTACTATCTTGTCGACAAGTTGTCAGGTTTGATAATTTATTGACGCCCTGTTGTAAGACTGGCTCTTGGAAAAGAAACTTTGGCTCAGAACAGAGATCGAAGTCATGTAAGGACAGCTCTTTCGAGAATAGGGTAGCTTTCCAGGGTGATTCCATGACAACTGTGAGTAGGTAACCTGGAGGTTCATCCAAGTTTTTTAATAGCCAACAAATAAATAAGGATTGGAATGGAAATGGGACAGTACCTGAGAGTGTAAATCCACAAAATAAACTTCAAAACGTGTGAATGGCGCCAAGTGCACTCAACTGGTACCAATAAGTAAACAACTCGGTACATAAGGATACAAAACTTCAATAGTGGAGCAAAAGGGGCTCCAATGATTAGTGAGTGAGTAGGATATCGAGACACCACCACAAATAATTACTTCACATTCAGTTCAAACAACTGCCCGCTTCCCATCCCCTGATGTAAAAATTTTTCGGTTCACTTAATTTGTCAAACAAATATTTTTCAAACAAAAGGGAAGATTTTGTTATTTGAAGGGTTACTGAGACTAAAGCAGAATTGATCTGAGAGCGATAACAGTTGGCCAAATGGGTGGAATGAGGGAAGCCTAACTAGAGCACGTTCAGCTGAGATGCCAATCGATAGGCAGCTGGGTGGTTGGCTGACCACCCGCTATTGCAGCTGACCACCGATCGTAAAGACTAGCAAAAGACAAGGACATATTTGTCAAACACAGGCATTTGCCAGCGCTACACCCTATCCTTTTCGATTTTTTGCCGCGATCGATTGGAACTAGTGTTAGGAATCGATATTGATCTTTTTTTACTTAACACAGAATATTTGCCTTTCGTGCTCGGAGGCAGTGTGATGCCAAGTGGCGCACTATCGCACGTCTGGTCCGAGGATCAAATCCCGGATTGGCATCCTCTTATTTTCATTCCGAATAAGTCTCCCGCGTCCTGGGTCCTTTGGCTGGTATCAGATTCTTCTGATATCTTACTGACTCTTGAGTTAGCTTGGCCAGGGATCGTGCTCATCTGTTCGTAGACTCGTATGTGTTCGATTTGCCATGATATTTTGAGCCATTCATTTCCTTATTTACATATACTCAATTATCCATTTGTTTATTTTCATCGGACTAGTGCTCATTAACGTAAACAGATATTAGTACGTTAGGCTTACGGTCATGTGTTGATCAATCGAATACCTGGCGAATACGTCCTCGTGCGCAGGGGACCCGAAGGTCGGCATAAGCCAGGTTGAGACCGTAGATCTCGTGCCTCGATTTGAGCAATAACTCCATCCTGTTAACTCAGAAATGTTTTCAGTCACAACTGCAAACCTGTTCAGCATCTCATCCTTCCTGACTCGACCCTTTAACGAGAGTGTAGCAGAGCACGGACAAGTGTGCTCCTCGTACTTCTTGATAGGCTTCCACAACAAATTAATTTTCTATGAATATTTTCAAATCGTCAAAAATCGCAAACTAATAAAAACGTACTTTTAGTCGGTTAACTTCGAATTGTGTCAATTGCTATGACGACTGACAGCCACGAAGAGATACAGCCTAAGCTTCGACCGATTCTGATAAAGCGTGCAACGAGACTGCATTTCGCCCATCCTAAGATCGTTTTTCTTTAACGCTGGAAACCCACCGCTTACCGGGTACCAGTAAGACATGTTTGAGATGAGGTCAAACATGAGAAATCGAGTTTCAACAAGCGAAAAACTGTTTCACATGTAATACTTCGGAATGACCGAGTTACACAAGACGGATTTCAAAGTCCCGTGGATATGTTACACAGTAATCCGAAGACACACTCAACAGCCTCCAAAGACCCGCCTCATACAATACGCAACAAAAAGGTATCCTGGGTAAGGTCTTCGATGTTAGGCTGCTTTCATAGTACCGGTCGGGCTGCCCGGCTAACGCCGGGCTTCCCTCCTCCCTGTGGGTTCGCCCGGCTACGCCGGGCGCTTCCCCCCTCTCTCCCCTCCCCCCTCCTATGAGAAATTTGTTATGCGTAAATAACCCTTCGGATTCTCCTTCTTCTTCGAAAGCTCTACATCCTCAGTATTAGCTCCGAACTGGGAACGATTTTTTCTGTAAGCCATCTTCGCTGTGTCCGAATAGAACATCAAGTATTCAGAGACTTCATCGCGCCTGAGGCTACTATGTTAGCTACCATCAATGTTCCCAAACAACTCCTTGTGCCTTCAAGTTTCAACGGTCTGGGTCCGAACGAACAGTATTTATTAGTGCACCGCTCTTTGGGGCGGAGTTTAGCCGTGCAACCTACCATTAGTGTACCTATCCTGCCTCCCGTTTTCCTATCAAGTCGCTCTAGGTCCATTTTGACATTTCTCTGCAAGCCCCGCCCCCTGATAGCGGAGTTTGGCCCTGACACCCACCACCAAGATATTCATCCTGCCGCCTATAGCCCTAAGAAGTTTGAGCGCTTTAGCTCCACGGGGACAGAAGTTATGACTTTTCGCTCAAACATTTATTTCGCCCTAACTCCACCCCCTGCGGGCGCGGTCCGGTCCTGCCCCCCTCCCCCACCCCCACCCCCACCATAAATGTTCGCAACCTGCTGCCTGTATTCCTACCAAATTTGAGCACTCTAGGTCCACGGGGACAGTAGCTATGAATTTTCGCTCAGACCCCACCCACTGTGGGCGGAGTCCGGTTCTGCCATCCACCATGAGCGTTACCCTCCTGCCGCCTGTGCTTCTACCAAATTTGAACGTTCTACGTCCAAGTTTAAGCTTTTCACACAAACCCCGCCCCATGTGAGCGGAGTTTGTGTGAAAGTCTGCCACTCACCATAAGTGCCCCATCCTGCTCCCCGTGTTCCTACCAAGTTTGCACTCTCTCAGTCCACGGAGACACGGGTTATGAACTTGCGGCCCAAAAATCCTATCGCGTACGCCCCGCCCCCTGTGCACGGAGTCCGGTCCCGCCACCCAATATAAGTGTTCACAGCTGACGCCGGGCTCTCCTTCTATTTGAGGCAAAGGGACTTCGCCCGAAGAACATCGAATTAATGAAATTCTCCCCCTTCCCCCCTTTTCTAGTTTATTTCGTTGTTTCGCTAAGCGAGAGTATCTCTCTTATTATAAGGCAGAAACTTGGTGTGTCGGTTTGTCGGTATGTCTGTCGGTGTGTCCGTCCGCAAACTTATCATTCCCTAGCTCAGTAACTTGGTGGGTGGGTTAATAGAGTAGAGTGAGTACTGCGTAGTGGAGTGAGTGATGTGGAGTGGAGTGGTTACTTGAAAACTGTGATTTTGAACTAAACTGGCATCGTGCTATGTATGTTCTTACAAAAATCTGAGGTAATTCAGCGCTGGAGCGCAGATAAGGAAATAAATCATAATTGTGCTTAGGAAAGTTTCTTAGCCGATAGTATAGAGTGTTTTAACCTGGCTTCAGAAGGAAAGGAGTTCAACTCATACCCCATCCTAGCTTACTCCACCCCTCCCCCCCCCNCCCCCCCCCCCCCCCCCCCCCCCCCCTCAAGGATTTCCTAACCACTTTGTGAAAGTAACGAATGAGGCCCAACGTAAGCCGAGTTATATTTCTGAGCTAAGCAGATGGGCGGGTAGGTTAATAGAGTGGAGCGAGGCGAGTTTTGCGGAATTTAGTGAGTCTTTCGTGTACAGGAAACTGTGTCAAAAGGTCAAAGCTAAATCGTAAATTACAAGCCGCTAGGAGGTAATTGGTGAGTGGATCTTCTTCTCTAAGGCCTCTTCTATTGTCAATGTTCCCATCCTGCCTCCTCCTATTGATTTTGCTATCCAAGTCCACGAGATCAGGAGTTATGGATTTTCACTCATTTATTTCTCGGGAACCCCGTTCCATAGGGGCGGTATATTCCCTTGGATCGTACCCAGGGTTAAGTGTGATTATATTTGTGTATATATTTCTTGTCTTTTTCTCATAGTATTTTCTCCATTTAATCTTATTTAATCACCCATTTCATATCATACATAGATTATCATAAAATGGTATTTAACATTGTGTGCTGATGATACTTAGAATGTTGGTAAGATCCATATATATCGCAGGCTCCCGGGTTAGCCTTAGCAGGCCATGGTAGGACCGTATGCCTAGCGCCCGGGGGAGCTCGGCGCTGGGCTAGCAACCCCTGTAGCGTACTGCGGAGGCAGTACCATTCTCTAGGAGCTCGCAATGGACACTGGGGCAGCCTCAGGCTTACCAAGTCCGTGTGGCAGTTGAATACGAGCATGACGAGCGGGCAGAAGTCCCCGGTCACCTAGCTCACGCCGCCGGGGATGTCCTGCCGAGCAACCACCGATGCGGATCGGCCTCGGCGGGGCGTCATCGACAGCGCGACAGACGTCGTGCAAAATCGACAACATGGTGAAAAGATTGGCTTACAACTGGACCTAACGAAGACGATTTTTACGAAAGGCAAATTTATTACCCGATGCTTCTTTCACGCTTAACGGATCGAATATTTCCGAATGTTCAAGCAAGTCTATTTTGGGCCGAAACCATAATTAATGATATAGCTTCGGGCTGAGCAGAACGAAAGGGGCAGTACGGGAAACTGCATGAACATTTAAAGGTTCACGATATTCCGAGGTACACTTTTTGAGTTGAAAAGTGGAAATATTGATGCAAAGCAGTAGATCGGAGGGAAAGAAAGCGAGAGAATCCTTTAAGAACAAGGTTATCCTTGAGTAGAGGAAATAGTAATTGTGCGAGATAACCATGACTGAAATGGCATCTATGGGGTGTTTTGACGAGATTTCACTCGCTTCAACTGTGCAAAGAGCTTACTAATTCAAGCCGAAATTGTCCAAAACTTCACTGTCGCTATGGGTTATGACAAGTTGTTTGAATTTACTGTATAGGAGTTCTTTGAGACAGTGCAGCGTCTAGCACGTCGTTAAAACTCGTCCCCTATGGGTGTGGCAATCACACGATACAATCTTCAGCCCTTTGTTCTGCCCTGTACAGGACGTTTTCCGATCTTATAGAGGTAGGTATGGTATAAGGCGAGGCCTCCAATTCATGCTATAGGGTCTTAGAAATCATTTTATCGCCAACTGTGCTTTTAGGAACGTTGAGGGAATGGTGGAGAAAACAAAAATGATCAAAACATCCCCATAATCCTACTTCCTCTCGTCTTACATATGAACATATGAGCTCCCAAGCTGAGTTGATGTAGGGGCAAAAGCTTCCTTTTTCAATGCAAATGAGTACATACACCGCCTAGGTTTCTTTCAGGATGCAGAGGTAGAGGAGCGATCAAAGTCCTTTCATGTTAAACATTCCAGCGCCATAGTGATTTGAATAGCTCCAAATAAAAAAAACTTTATTGGCCATTAAAATTATACACTTTATTTGAACACCTTTGACGCATTCATCCCAGCATCACATAACAGAACCCAACCTTAATACCGAATTGTCAACCAATATATTTGCCCATTAAGCGGATGCAACTGTATTGAAAAATCACAATTCACAATTACGCCTGAAGAAGTCACAACGATATTACTTCCCACAGCGTCCTCAACAAAATGTGGAAGGATATGAAAGGTACAATAAAAGTTCCTTTAGAGTTAAATAAATATGAAGTGTCCTGCACAAAAACCTGATCAGAATTACNACCAATATATTTGCCCATTAAGCGGATGCAACTGTATTGAAAAATCACAATTCACAATTACGCCTGAAGAAGTCACAACGATATTACTTCTCACAACGCCCTCAACAAAATGGTGAAGGATATGAAAGGTACAATAAAAGTTCCTTTAGAGTTAAATAAATATGAAGTGTCCTGCACAAAAACCTGATCAGAATTACATTTTCGTAATTTTCTTAAACATGTTAACTTTCTAGAGAAACGGGTTCCGCTACATCCGATACCCTACATTATGGAAAGTCATCCAGCCAAAGCTCAGTCAACTCTCTGAAATGAATATGATTAAAAGACCTGAGATGGGGATAAAGACTTGAAAAATCCTCAAGCCTGTGACTAGATAGAATAAAGGTCGAATAATCAATAGAAAAAAATCTCAATTCCAACATTTGGTCACTAGCAGGAACTACGGATCTGAATTAGACATACATATCTTCACACACGATAACACTCACATGTACTAAAACTTCTACATTATATAAAACTTATACTAAACCCGAACGGTGCTGCTCAGTAACTCCCTAACTAAGAAAAGTCACCTACCAAAGTTATGAATTTTTTAATCTGAACACCAACCCTTAAGAATCTGGTCTTAAGATGTGATGGAATATATGTTCGTGTAGAAAGTACCGTGCATTTTTCTTCCCCTATTGTTCTTGCCGTAAACCCTACCCATTTCAAACTTCAGCCGATCTATTCAGGTACTTCTCCAGGAGTTACCTATTGTTGTGACAGATAGACAAAAGCCACGTCTTTGCCTGTGGTAAGTAATGATGAAGATTCTATAGGTAATAAGTTTGCTAATGATTCCATAGGTAATATATTATGATGATGGATTCATATATATATTGAGTGATTTTGGAACCGTCTTTAAAGAATGTTATGAATTTTTATTGTTAACCCCGCCCATTCAAAATTCAGATCGTGGAAGCCGAATGCGTGGGCGCATCCCTCACACGGAATTTCTCGGCGTCCCGATTTTTACCCTTCTTTATCCACTAACCCCGCCCTTTTCAGCGCTAGCCGCGCCCATTTTGAGGTTTTGACCATGTTCCTTTTACGGTCTATCATATTTTCTATTTACATTCTAGAGCGTCTCTAAAGAATGGTATGAATTTTCGGTTAAGCTCAGTAGATATGAGGATTTGATCGTACTAATCGCATCTCTCCTAAACATTTAGGTTTTTTTCGCATTCGAGAATGTTTTTGAATAGAGTCGTATATTCCTTCAAAGAGTACCTTCCACATGAACGCCCGCCCCACTCACCTTCAACTAGATGGAACATATTAAGGCATTGCCTAATATTATTTTCTCTGCTTCCGCTGAACTTAGTTATTGAACTGCATATTGGTGTCCTCATTTCAATTGTTGTCGGTACTCACCTTTGCTCAATTCTCCCGGAGTCTGGGCTATTACGAAACAATTAGGAAGTTCTGCTTATGACGACATCTGATCATGTCCCTCTGATTGCCCATCCTTCCACTGCACTTTCTCACACTACATGGTTTTGTTTTGTACAAAAAAGAGATCTCGAAAGCCCCTATTCTGGCTCATTTGACAAAGAAAGATCTTTCTTTTTGCAAACTATTTTCTTCAGTTCCATCACGGAAGGAGAGTGGCTAGGATAATCTGTGAGACTTGCCCTGTTCTTGCTGATCCCAAATAATTAACGCCAAGTTCACTGTTGGAAATCCCATAGTAACCTGTAGTATGCTATAAGCGTTCTTACCAAGCCTTCTCCGTCACGGGCCGGATAGGTATTAATTCGAAAGCAGATTTGCTTGAAGTCGGTGCAAACATTTGAGTTCGGTTAAAGCGCAGCATAGGCATGGGCATCAGCATTTAGCATTTATCAGCGTAATTATTTATAATCGACTATACAGTGCGCGTCAATTGCATATGCCATCCCCTATTTTTTCTTTTATGTGAGTTGTTAGGCAACATTGCGAGCCGAAATGTTGACCAACACTTACTGAGTGAACAAGAGCTTCAACAAAGCCTAAACATATTTGAACGCTGGGGTAGCGCCCTTTTTTTGGTGATAAAGTGAAAATTAGCCGCGTCAATTGCATATGCCGTGCCGACATTGCTACGAAATATCTTACGTCCACGCAGCCCTATAGCCTTCTGTCCAAAACTGTCCTGTCCGCAATCCAAAGCAGTCCACCATGCCTAAGGGTCGTCGTCTATCTTCAACAGAGCAAAGCCAAATTCTATCGCTTCGTCAAGCAGGCCATAGCAACAAGGCCATCGCGGAACAACTCGACCGATC